CCCAGTGAGGACGAGTCAAGCTGTTTCTACTTACTTTTCAAGAATCTAAAGTATCTACACGAAGAACCATGCTTGTCTTTGAATTTTCCAGAATTAAAATTCTGAAAAGCTCAAAAATTGTGCTAAGAAGACAAGAGCCTCAAAAATTCATAACAGGAAACATGGCATTTTCCCAGATTATTCTCTGGCTTCAATGAAGAAAGAGAATGGGGACCACACTGCAGCAGCGGGATTTATAAATATGAATTACAGGATAAGATGATTTTCCAAACATCTGTCAGAAGTTAATTTGATCCAAGAGAAAGGGGGGGGAGCAGACTCAGAGGGAAGCCAAATATAATGACTAATACCTGGAACTTATGTGGACTTCAGTGCGTTGATGGCCTCATGGGCATTGCATGCCCAGTCTACAATAATAAATACCCAAAGCCTGTACAATTTATATCACTCATTTTATTCTCATAATGCACAGAGTGGATATCTCTGGTTAAATCTAAAGACAGAGACTTGGTACGATGACATGCTATATGAACTGGGAAGAAATGTAGAGAGGCCATGTAGCACAGTGGTTGAGAAAAGGTCTTTGAATAAGTCAGATCTTACTAGCTATGTAATCTTGGGTCAGTAGTTTAATGTTCTCTTCTAGTATACTCTACCTGTGAAACAATGATATAACTACATTGTAGAGTTGTCACATAGCTTAAATAAAAACACAAGAAGTAGCTGGTATAGTGTCTGATATGAAGTAGGCACTCAGCAAATGAAAACTAGCAATAGTAGTTTCCAAAAGCTCTATACCTACCTGGTGTAATACTGTAACTAGGATATCACACCAGCTCAGATCATTCAGAAACAATGTTTTACCCTGGATGTAAACCGAGCCCCTAATTACCTAGATGTTTTATAACAAAGCAGTCAGCTATTAGAAACTGCCCCTGAGGATTTGTCTAGTCTTTGTTCCTTGCATTTTGTAATAGGAGAGGGGGTGGCTACTATTATACAAATAAAACTGAAGAGGATATGTGTAAGAATGAGCTATTTTTATGACTTTCCAACTTTTGCTTTAGACCTGTACAGAAATTATACCATAGCTCTTTCTCTGTTGTTAAAACATGGGCTGCCTGGGACACTTAATCCTTACTTCTGAATGTTCTGCTTGTGTACTGTGTGGAACGTGCTTTGGAAACAAGTTAGCATCCATTAATTCGAATAATAAGAGGAAATAACCATTTTTAAAATTTCACAGTCCCATAACGTTAACTAAATGGAAATCTCCTAACTTTTCTAGGTTTCAGCATCTTTATCCTGAAGATGAAAATACTAATAACTGAGTTTCTATAAGTTAAAGATGATATCTCAAGTACTCACAATCACCATTAATCAAGTTAAAAGATGGAAGAAACATCAAAAAGAAATTAAATGAACATCATCTATCCATCACTTTTACACAAGTGGCATGTATAATGAAGAAAGTGCCTATTGGGAAATAAAGACTTGTGTTCTGATCCTGGCTCTGCCACTAACTCGTCCTGATATCTTGGCCATTCAATTATTCTCAAATACTTATGTTATATCTAATAGATGCCTGCCACTAACACTACTAAAATTGATGTTCTGCCTTCCTCACAGGCTATTTTTATGATGGGATTAAATAATTTATAAGCAAATTCTTAAAGTTAAGAGCTATGAAAATATGTAGTGATTTTATTCTATAATATATTACATATATATGATATTATTATAGTTAAGGCCAAGCTATACTCTATAGCATAAAACATATTTTCCATGTCAGGTTCAAGAGTTCATGAGACTTCCTGAGCTTCAGTTTGTTCATCAATGAAACAAGATTGTTGAGCTGGAAATTCAAATATTCCCACAGCATTTGATAGCTTTTAAAAAAAAAAAATGAGGAACCTAAAGCAAAGAGGAGTTAATTGATTTGCTCAAAGAACACAGTCAGTAGCAGAACAAAACTGAGATTCAGGTTTCCTAATTTTCAAAAATATCACAAATTTAAAAATAATGAACTTTTCATTTGTCCAGGCTCTCAGACTATGAAACTTGCTCCTGTCTCTATCCTTCAATCTCAGCTTGACTATTCACTTGAGATAATCAAATTATATGGCTGTATTTATGAAATTAATCACCAAATTGCTATTTCAATCTCCTAAACTTCATTCCAAAAAGATTTGATCCTTTTAGCTTGGATTCTCTTTTATTAAAATGAGAAAGCACTGCCATCTACTGGACTCTTAAGACATTGCTGTTATTATATAATTTTAGTCTGAGGAAAGAATTCTTACCAACGGAACTCTTTTTGTACTTTGACAATACCTAATATTTAGTTATTAGGACAGTACAAGTTTCATAACAATAAAACTCCAAAAGTTTGGGCTAAAGATAAAGTATGGTGAGAGAGAGAAATAGCATCCCCTCAAGATTTTTAATCTCAAAATTATTTTTAGGATAGTCTTAAATACAGCAAGCCTTCACCTGTATTCATTAACAAGTTTTTATTGAGCATCCACTGCAGGACAGGCACTGTGAAAGGGACACATGATAAGCATTAGAAATGTAGCCACTCCCTTTTATCTAAAGGTTTACTGCCTAGTGACTAGCAATTCCCATTTATTACTGAACTCCATTCATGTGCTAGGCTTATTCCGGTAATATACATTACCATCTTTAATCCTCAAAATCAACTTATGATGAGGTAGAATTTATCTCATTTATAGACGAGGACACAAACACAGACATGACTCAATTTGTCCAAGATCACTCTCATAGATGAGCAGCAGTAGTGCCTGAAATTAAACAAATCGATCTGTCTCCAAAACCCTATCCTTAATCACTAGGTAGTTGTCAGCATCTGCCTAAGGAGTCTTTGCCAAAAGGAAATTCAGGCAAAGATTACATGTCTATATTAAAGCCAAAACTCCTGAACTTGGATCTGAAAGGTACAGCTTATTAGATAAAATACTGGCTGGCCCAGCAGCCTCTCATTCCACCCTGTCCCCTTAATTGCCAGCCTAGTATTTAAATTCATCTAGAAACCATCTCAACTGGTCACCTAACTATTTATCAACCTCCATCCACCCCAACTTCAAGTTACAGCAATGTTCCTATTGAAGTCCCCAAACATTTGAAAGTGCACCTATTCCTAAGGTCCTTTCAACTGATTTAAGGTTCTGCTGTGATTCACCTGCATTATTTGCAAGACAGAAATAAATGATATCAAAATAATTTTTCAAACTAAAGCTATTTGTAAACTAGTGCTCTCTGGAATAGATGCAGTTTTATCTCAACTAAAACATGCAGTTATATCTCCTTAACTAAAAGAATGTGAATATGTGTCTAATACTTTTGTACCCTACAGTACCCATCTGATAATAATATATACTAGTATATATATTGGTCTCTGACCCCAGTTCTTAGCACAGAGTTCCTGAAACCCTTATAATTCTCCTAAGTGATAAGAGCCTAAAAAGCATCTTTTGTTCTAATATTAGGCCTCCCAACACAGGTGAAAGGAGTATCTTTTGTTCTAATGAGGCAACAACGAGTGGCTCCTGGATGAGGGCTGGTCACTTGAAGGAATTTTCAGCCCTGCCCCCGCCCCATTCTCCTGAGAAGGAAGAGGATTGAAAATGGAATTAATGATCCATCATGCCTACATGATGAAGCCTCCTTAATGCCCCAAAAGTACAGAGTTCAAGTTGGCCAACACATACACCCTGGGATGGTGACCTGCCCCAGCTCCACAGGGACAGAAGCTCTGCATCCAGGGCCACCCAGACCTCACCCATACATCTCTTCCATCTGGCTGCTACTCTGTTTCCTTTATGAAATCCTTTAATAAAGCAATAAATGTGTTTCTATGTGAGTCACTCTACAAATTAATCAAACCCAAGAAGGGTCACTGGAATCTTGGATCTATAGCTCCTTGCTCAGAAACACAGGTGACAACCTAGTATTGTAGCTGGCATCTGAAGTGGGGGCAGGCAAGAGCAGTCTGGTGGGACTGAGCCCTTAACCTATGGTAGATAGTGTGAGAATTGAGTTCAATTGCAGGACATCCAGCTGGTGTCACAGAGAATAAGTTGCTGGTTTGGTGACCAGAAGTGTCAAAAGTGAAGTGGGAATAGTAAAGGAGACACACAGGAAAGAGAAACACAGTAGGAAAGAATCGGGTTTTTCTCCACAACAGGAGGGAAAGACTGTTGGTTTTCCCTTTCAGTACCTAGTTTAGTAATTGGCATACAGTCTGGCCAGGGTGACTCAGTGGTTGAGCATCAACCTAAGAATCAAGAGATAATGGTTCAATTCCCGGTCAGGGCATGTGCCCCGGTTGCAGGCTTGATCCCCAGTGTGGGGTGTGCAGGAGGCAGCCGATCAATGATTCTCTCTCATTGATGTTTCTATCTCTCTCTCCCTCTCCAATCCCCTCTGAAATCAATAACGTATTTCAAAAGGCAGAAGCAAGACAAAGATCAAAGATATATTAGGCAGGGTCTCCAGAGAAAGGGTTTCCATGTAAGGGAAAAAAAATATCAATAGTATGTACTTAGTAAATATGGATTCTCTTCCTTTTCCTTTCTCTCATTGTCTTTAGAAATAGAGATAGCATTGGCTATAATATAACTTGACTCATAGTTTTTTAGATGTATTTAAATCTCTAAAAGATATCTGAAACATTTAACAAAATTGTTACTGCATTTAATCAAAATTCGTTGTTCTTTCTTAATCCTCAAAGAATTATATAGAATAAGAAAAAGCAGTTCCATTTCCTTAAAGGAAAATGAAGATAATCTAGATTTAGAAAAGATGAATAGGGTGGTTATAAAATAAGGTTTCATTTTAAAGGCATTCCTCTTAAGCCATACTTAAACAACAAATTTACAATACTTAAAACATGGTTCTGTTTACACAGAGCATTTTTCCTTATAAGCCAAGGCATACCCACACTAAACAAAACTCCTAACACTAGGAAAAGCTCTTACCTTATGTTCATATGGAGCACCATAGTAGCCATCATTCAGCCCAAATATTATTTCATTTTGGTTGCGAGCATGAATCTAAGAGGGGAGGAAAACATACTATTAGTTACTCTCATACCAATCATTTAAATATGATTGGAGAATCATATTTACACAGGATACTTCAGTGCTGAAAAACAGGCTGGCTCTATCCAACCTGCCGGCAGACAACAAATCGCTATCATTGGACCAGGTAATCAACCAAGGCTTCCCGCTTTAGTCGAAAGCCTCACAGACCATCACATGAGATCACGGGCACCATCATTCACATGTATTTTCCACAAACACATCTTGAGGTTGTTATGGAGAGACTATTCATAAGGTACAGGGATTCAGAAGCTGATAGCACGTATTGTCTTATCTCAAAGAAAACACAATCCAGTTAGTCTATAAGAGCCCCTTAAAAATAGGAAACCCTAGGGAAAAAAATAAAAGATGAGTATTTCCTATTTTCAAAGAGTATTTAAAAATAATCCCTAATCCCTAAAGTCTTTAAATGTCTGTGTAATTATTGTTTGCATACTATTCTCTTTCAAATGCAGCTGATTTGGGTTTTAGTTAATGCCACGACAAATTAACCTTCACCTGAAAGATAGAAAGGTTAAAACTTTAAAATTTAAGAATTAAGATAAAAACTGCTCATAATAGCATAAAGTATCTATGGAAATAGATTTAGTTACTTGATAAAAGCAGAAATCAGTGGAACTGAAAATAATAACAATAAAGATATTCAATGAGACAAAATACAGTATTTTGAAAAAAAATAATAAAATTGGTAAATCTCTAGTCAGAATGATCCTAAGAGAAGACAGAAATTACCAACAGCAAGAATAAAAGAAGAAAGAATTATAGCCTACGTACATAAAATGGATATAGGAACACTGTAGAAATTTTTAGAGCAATATAGGTGAAATCAACAAATTCTTTGGAACCTATCAAAGCTTACTTAAGAAGACACAGATAACATGAATAGCCTCTTACCTAATAAAAAAAAAATTTAAAGTATGAGTTTTAGTTAATGTGTTGGCATTAACTAAAACTCATACTTCCCCACAAAAAAATCCTAACACCCAGGCCCTGGCCAGGTAGCTCTTTAGGTTAGAGCATTGTCCCAATAAGCCAAGGTTGTGGGTTCAATCTCCTGTCAAAGCACATAAAACAATACAAGAACCAACCGATGAAAGTATAAATAAGTGGAGCAACAAATCAATTCCAACATCTCTCTTTCAATCTATCTATCTCTCCCTTTCTCTCTCTCTAAAATCAGTAAAAAAAATTTTTTTAAAGAAATCTTTACCAGCCAGATGACCTCACTAAAGAATTCTGTCAAACATTTGTGAAATAAATAACAATTCTACACAAATTCCAACTCTGTGGCCTATAGCCCTGCAACTCTAATGTTAAGCATCATGATCCTTGCCCTGGCCAGTTTGATTCTGTGAATAGAGCATTGGCTTGTGGACAAAAGAGTCCCGGGTTCGATTCCAGTCAAGGGTATGTTCCTCGGTTGCAGGCTCCTCCCCGGCTTGGGTCCTGGTCGGGCTTGTGCAGGAGGCAACCAATTGATGTGTGTCTCTCACATCAATGTTTCTCTCTGTCCTTCCCTCTCCCTAAAAAATCAATGGAAAAATATCCTTGGGTGAGGAATAACAACACACACACACAAAAGGAAATACCATCCTCCACAAAATGAAGATATTTTCAGAAGAAAAATAAACAGGTGCTTGGCATCAGTCTAACCACAGCGAGTCAACTACACAGCCCGTGGGGAGACAGGCAGGGTGTGCACTTCGGGGCAGGCCTGGCAGGCCTGTGTCAATGCAACAAGTTTCTGGTACTGAGAGGAGTCATTATCTTACCATTTATGATTAAGACCAGCCCTAAAATAAGGGGGGTGGGGGACGGAAATACAAAAATCAAGAAGATTAAGGATTTGCTGCTGGTTAGAATCTGCAGCAGGTAAGAAAATATCTGTCACATGCATTGTTCCAATCACTACAGGACACAAAATAAATAAAGTAGGGTAAGTCAAACAAGGGCAGACATTTCTCTAATCTGAACACGTAGAATTAAATTGTTTCTTTAAAAGGAACACACACCACATAGTATATGGTAAATAAAATATTAAGAAACATCAGGATGCCCAGCTGGCATGGCTCAGTGGTTGAGCGTCGACCTATGAACCAGGAGGTCACTGCTCAGTTCCCTCCCAGTCAGGGCACAGGCCCGGGCTGCAGGCTTGATGCCCAGTGGGGAATGTGCAGGAGGCAGCCGACCATTGACTCACTCTCATCATTGTTGTTTCTATTTTTCTCTCCCTCTCCCTTTCTCTCTGAAATCAATAAAAAAAAAAAAAAAAAAATATATATATATATATATATATATATATATATATATATATATATTTTTTTTTTTTTTTTTTTTTTTTTTAAAGAAACATCAGGGATGTTTGTAGATATAACTAATGTTTTAGGGTTACCTTCAACAGTAATCCCATAGGTATCACAAAATAGAAATGGCATTCACCCCAAGGCAAAGTGGGTGACAACCATGACGACGTGCAAGTAAGTGAGCTAAGGCACAAGGAGCAATTCAACTCCCTGAGGACGAATTCTCCCATCTGGAAAATGGGGGCCATTATATAAACCTTCACAAGTTGCCATGAACATTAATTATCATAACCTAGGCCTGGGGATGCAAATAGGTTTCACTTCATGTGCAGTTCTAACGCGTTAGAAAGACTATGGAGCTATGCCTGGGCTCAGTGAGACCAGTGCTGTGACCGCTGATGCCCATCATTAGGGAACGGGGAGCAGGTTGTAAGCCGGGCATCTGTCCTCCCTGTGCCCAGTCAACAGCAGTAGCTCTTCTTATTCCCACCTCTCCTGGGCATAAAAGAAGGTGTTAAATAGTATTTTGAACTTAATTTTCAGATTCTAGGGGGAGAACATCCAATAAGACAGAAGCCTTGTGCCATGAGAAAGCATATTCTTTCCTAAAAAGAAGAAAGAAATCCCTTTCCCTGGCCGCCGGCTCAGTTAGATGGAGCATCATCCCATCCAGCAAAGGTTGAGGGTTTGCTCCCAGTCAGAGTCTGGGTGGAGGGCAGCAGTTAATAGTTTTTTGTGTTGTTTTTTTTTAAATCCTTAAATTAGCAGATTAGGGTCCTTCTCCATAAATTTCTTCAATTAAAGGTTATTGTTCATACTTGGCAAGATTCAAATTTATCTAAGTAAACAAACTTTAAATGTGGAATCAGAAGAATCAACAGGAAGCTGAAGAGGTTAATGTAGAGAAGGCAACCACGTGGAACTGCAGCCTCCACATTACCTGCTGACCCAAGTACTTCAGCCCGTCCAGGCAGACTTTCCACTCGATCAGCAGCTGGTAGGAGGCCTCCTTCCCACCCCATATCTTCACCACAAAACAGGACACAGAGGTATCAAGGCGATCGGGCATTAATCCAAAATCAAGACTCCGCCACGTTGGATTCTGTTGATGGAAATGAAAATATGCCTGAGAAAGACTCTTAACTTGTTTCCAGTTATTTCAATTAGGTTGAGATCAAAGACCTCATAAATATATTAAAATGCAAACTTAAGTAAACCAAGAAGACATTCCAATTAGCAGGACAGGGTTATATTGGCATTTTTAAAATTTTCTTCTTATTTATTACTAGAGGCCCAGTGCACAAAATTCATACACGGAGGTGGGGAAGGGTCCCTCAGCCTAGCCTGCACCCTCTCCAATCTGGGACCCCTTAAGGAGTGTCCAACTGCCAGTTTAGGCCCAGTGGGATCAGACATTCCTCTCACAATCCAGAACTGCTGGCTCCCAACTGCTCACCTGCCTGCCTGCCTGATTGCCTCTAACTGCCCTCCCCTGCCAGCCTGGTCATCCCTAACTGACTTCCCCTCTTGGACTGGGTCCCCCCAAATATCCTCCTCTGCAGGCCTTGCCCCCCGCCCCAACTTCTCTCCCCTGCTGGCCTGGTCTCCCCTAACTGTCCTCCCCTACTAGCCTGATCACCCACAACTGCCCTCCCCTGTAGGCCATCTTGTGGCGGCCATCTTGTGTATTGGAGCAATGGTCAATTTGCATATTACTCTTTTATTAGATAGGAAAGTCATTAAAAGGAGCATATAGTCTTAATATCTCACAAGTACATCCCTATATGACAGTCCATTTATTTACTTCTTAAAAAATTAAGACACAATTATTAAGAAAAGAAATATAAACAACGCCTCAAAGTACTGAACCTCAAATCTGTTGGCTTAAACCTCTAAGTAATTCTATCATTCCATTAAAAATTCAATAACAGAATGATGCAAAGGCTACACAGTAGCACAGGAGGGAATAATAAACTTGGAAGTGTGAGAGTGAACTAGGGATCTTTTCTATCAAAGAAAGGAGCTTGCCACCATCTTAAGTTCCGCCATTTTGATATGACTTTCCGATTCTCAGGGGGCTGCCATCACAGGCTCTGCCTTATCCTTCCCCTTCCTCTGAATTAGCCAATCGTGCAATAATGTGAACCGGAGCTCCAAGCCCTGACCAATCAAGTCAGAGTCGGAGTGAGGGGCAGGGCAGACCCTCAAAAGGAAATAAAGCCCAAAGGGAAAATCATGGCAACTGCACTCTTCTGCGCAGGAGTAAGTCTGCCTTGCCGATCCACTTTCGAGTATTTGTCTCATCCCCACACCACTGACGAACATTTCTAACAGAAGGAACAGGGGGAAGACATCACAGAGGCTATGAAACCCGGCTACCAACAGACCAATTGGGTTTTACCTGGTTAAAATAAGGAAGTACAGGCAAAGGAAACAAGATACACAAGGCTCAGGGTATAAAATAGCGAGTATGATCAGGGAACTAAGACAACTGCTAGTGTACACAACACAAGAGAGACGGACACAAAGCGGGAGATATAAACAGGGGACTAAACTCAAAAATGTTTTATGCCTTGTCAAGGACTCAGTCCTTTACTGGTATAAAATGTGGGGCCAGCCGAAACCGGTTTGGTTCAATGGTAGAGCGTTGGTCTGCAGACTGAAAGGTCCCAGGTTCGATTCCGGTCAAGGGCATGAACATTGGTGGAGGGCACATTCCCAGTAGGGGGTGTGCAAGAGGCAGCTGATTGATGATCCTCTCTAATCGATGTTTCTACTCTCTCTTCCTTTCTCTTCCTCTCTATAAAAAATCAATAAAATATATATTTTTTTAATGTGGGGCCACTGAAAGGTTTCAAGGTTAATGGACATGAAACAACATGGATGAATCTCACAAGTGCAACATATATAGAAAAGGAAAATATGCCATATTTTCAAAAGCTAGAACTAGTCTATGGTGCCAGAAGTCAGGATAATAGTTCTCTTTGGGAAGGAGTAGTAACTAGAAAGAGAACACAAGAGGTGCTGAAAAAGTTCTAATTATTGATCTGATTACATTGATCCTTTTGAAAAATCATCAGGCTATTATTATTTGTGCCCTTTAATGTACTATGTCTCAACAAAACGCAATGAAACTAATTTTTAAATAAACAAATGATGGAGAAAATACCACCTCTTACAAATCAAATTATGCTATCCCCTCATGATGTAATTTTAGGACTTAAAGCTAAAGAGCAGAAGTTGGAGGACGTTCTCGGCCTTCACATTGCACCACATAAAGAGGCAGCCATTCCCTCGCCTCTGTAAGATCCCCCTCAACAAAAGTGCACATGCTCTAGAATATCTTCTATAATAATAAAAGCGGAATATGATGCGAGGGAAGACCGAGTCCTAGGTGCCAGAGGGAAGCCGGTGCTATTAGCCGAGGGAAGGAAGGGCTACTCTTGCACGAATTTCATGCATTGGGCCTCTAGTGCCATAATATAATTTCAAAATCTCACTGTCACTGAGATTTTGTTAACTTTCCCAAAAGCTAACAAATGGTTTGGAGGGTATGGCGAGCTGAAGCTAGAGACATTAAAGTTGAACTACACATTCACCAGTATTTTATGCTAAATATATCTGAGAAGAAACCATCACTTGGACGTAACTTGCAGACACATCTCCACAATCTAACCTGTCAAAGGACTGTTCTTGTCACTCAATACAACAGACACTGAATGCCTTCTCTAGACAGAGCATGTGCTGGGGCATTAGAAAATAGAAAAAGGGGGTCCTTGTCTATCAGATGCTGCTGATTTTGTGTGGCCTGTAACTGTATCCCTTCTAAAATATTACTCTTACTCGACCCAGCCTTTCGCTACCTCCTTCTACTTCCCTGGGTCATTTCCCATGCTGCCCATCCTCAAACCCTTTTCCCCTGTGTCCATTTGTCACAAAATCTCAAGACACACATGCTCAGCCACTTCAGCCACACTAGTAACTCCTTAGGCATTTCTTGAAAACCTCAAGTACACTCCTGGTTTTGTACCTTCCTTTTTCTTGGCCTGGAACCTATATCTGTGCATTTTTCCCCTCATAGATACATAGCTGTTCCCTCACTTCATTCAGGTGTCTGCTCAAATGGTATCTTTTTTATCATCACCATAAAAAAACAAGCAACCCCCACCCCTGCCAGGAACCCCCTTTTGCTGCTTTATTTTACTCAATATTCATATTTATTACCATTTAACATATTCCAATTTATCAATGCTAACGTGTACTTTTCTTCACATTGTAAGATGAATTCTGATTCTAGAAATGCTAAAATCAATATGGTCCTAAAATATTTATCCACCAGATGGCAGTCATCAGATATCTCTACATGCACAACCTTAAAAATAGTTGTAGTTAATATCAATTCTTTCAAGTTAGGCACAGCCTTGGCACTAGTTGTGCTGAGTTTAAGTGCCATTTAAAATACATTTATTGATTTAAACTTTTAAAAATCCTGTACATAATATCTATCAAAATATTAAGGAATTAAGTGGGACACAAGAATATGGAATAAAGAGAATTCTCTCAGAATGCTGGTGAGAGTGTAAATAAAACAATAATTTTGGAAAATTGAAAATATACGCTAAAGCTGATCCCTTGCGTATTCCCAGCAAGTCCATTCCTAGATATATAACCAACAAAAAATAAATACATACTTTCAACCAAAAGATACACACAAGAAAGTTCATAGCAGCACTATTTATCTTAATTCAAAACTAGAAACTAACCAAATGCTCATCAACCGAAGAATGGACACATTCTGGTATAGTCATAGGATAGAATACTATAGAGCAAACAAACTACAAATATAACACCACAGTATGAATGACTCATGATATAAATTTAAGACATGGAAGTCAGACACAAAAATGTACACACTATATGGTTTAATTTTCATAAAACTCAAAAACAGGTAAAATTGCCGAAACCAGTTTGGTTCAAACCAGTTTGGTCGATATGTGGACTGAGAGGTCCCGGGTTCAATTCCGTTCAGGGGCATGTACGTTGGTTGCGGCCACATCCCCGGTAGGGGGTGTGCAAGAGGCAGCTGGTCAATGTTTCTCATCAACGTTTCTAGCTCTCTGTCTCTCTCCCTTCCTCTCTGTAAATATCAATAAAATATTTTTTTAAATATACTTTATTGATTTTTTTACAGAGAGGAAGGGAGAGAGATAGAGAGCTAGAAACGTTGATGAGAGAAAAACATCGACCAGCTGCCTCTTGCACACCCCCTACTGGGGATGTGCCCGCAACCAATGTACATGCCCTTGCCCGGAATCGAACCCGGGACCTCTCAGTTCGCAGACCGACACTCTACCACTGAGCCAAACTGGCTTCGGCCAACAAAATATATTTTTAAAAAATAAATAAAATTAAAAAAAAAACAGGTAAAATTAATTTATGGCATTTAAAAAACAAGAACTAAAGAGTGAGGAACCAAGATGGTAGCATAGGTAAATGCCTACACTTGCTGCCTCCCACAACCACATAAAAATTACAACTAAAATACAGAACAACTATCATCCAGAACCAAAGGAAAGCTGGCTGAGTAGAAGTAGTACAATAGAGAGCTGCTTCTCTTAAAATGCCGGCACCACAAACTGAATTTACGAGCTCCCACTTCCTCTGAACTCCAGTGCTGGGCAAGGCTCTAGGGCACCAGACACATACAGGGAGAAACTGGACTGTCTGGCATCAGGGCAGGAAATCGGGGGAAGCATTCGTCCAGACAGAGGTGATTGCAGCGGTCACTGTTCCCGTGTGGGGACCTCCTTGATGCAGGGCTGACTGGTAGCCATTCCTGTTTGCGCCTTCCTGGCAATTCTTTGAGACCCCATCTCACCCTATTTACAAGCCCACCCAAGCTGTGCACAGCAGCTTTTGCATATAAATGACCTGTTCTTTCTCAGCCTAAAACCTGTCAAACAAGCTGCAGCTGGATCAGGGAGAACCAAAGCTATCAATAAAAGGCCCAAGGCTGGCACCAGCACCAGCCTGCCTTGCTTCACAACTGGGCCTCACATGGGCACTTCCAAACCCGATACAAAGACGAGGAATCTGCAGATC